CCAGAATGTCATATAAATGGAATCCTACAGCCTTTTCAGTCTGGATTCTTTCAATTAGAAAAATGCATTTGAGATTCATCTATATATTGTATCAGTAGTTTGTTCCCTTTTTATGTGTGAGTAGTATTCCATTGTATGGATGTACCACAGTTTGTTTATCCATCCCCAGTTGAGGGCCATATGGATTATTTCCAGTTTTGGTAATTACTGATAATCCTGCTATAAACATTTACATACAGGTTTTTCTATTTTCTTTTCACTTGGGTTAATACCTGGGAGGGAGATTTTTCTATGTGATCAACTTTGTGAGAAACTACCAAACTGTTTTCCAAAGTGGCTATACCATTTTGCATTCCCACCAGCAGTGTGTAAGAGTTCCAGTTGCTCTGCATATCCTTGTCAGCACTTGCTATTATAAGGTGGTTTTATTTTTTTAATTTTAGGCCATTCTAATAGATGTATAGTGATATCTCGTGGTTTTAATTATAATTCCTTAATGACTAATCATTTTTAACATCTTTTCATCTGCTTATTTGTCATCCTTTTATCTTCTTTGGTGAAGTGTCTGTTCAAAACTTTTGTTTGCTTTTTTATTGGGTCATTTTTTATTGTTGAACTTTTAGAGTTCTTTATATATTCAGGATACAAAACATTTGTCTGATGTGCAATTTGCAAAAATTTTCTCTCAGTCTGTAGCTTCTGTTTTCATTCTTTTAATAGTATCTTTCACAGGGCAAAAGTTGTTAATTTTCATGAAGATTTGTTTATTAACTTCTTTTAAGGATTATGATTTTGGTATCATAAGTAAGAATTCTCTGCCTGACCCAAAGTCACAAAAGTTTTATCTTATGCTTTCTTCCACAAGTTTTATAGGTTTGTGTTTACATTTAGGTTTGTAATCCATTTTGAGTTATTTTTTTAATAAAACGTGAGGTATAGATCCAGGTTAATTTTTTTTTTTTTTTTTGGCATATGGATGGCCAATTGTTTCAGTATCACTTGTTGAAAAGATTATCATTTCTCCACATTAAACAAAATTTTATTTTAAAAGAAAGAATATGATTCTACCTAGCATGAGGACTCATCATCTATCATGAAAGGAAAAAATTCCCTAGATCCTTTGGTTCAGAGGTGACTGAAAGAAACCTCTTTGTTCAGGAGAACACCCACAACAGCTGTTTGACTGGAAGTGTCATAAAACCAAACATACCTTTTACTCCACTGCTGGGATTTCTAGATTGGTTTTGTTTCCCACCTTTTTAGGAGAAGTTTTAACTATTCACAGGTCCAGAAATCAATGAATAATAATTCTTTCCTGGCAAATTGAACATATATTAAAACTTTAGAATGAGAATGAAACTTCAAGTTCATTTAGTCTAACGCTCTCTTTTTTAAATTTCAAAAATAATACATGCTTCTCGTAAAATGTAAAGAATACAGAGGTATCATTTAGGTATTGGGATACTATGGGATACTGGTTTTCCCATCACCTCCCTACCCCTTTCTTCTCAGTCTCCTTTGCTGGCTTCTCCTCTTTTTATGACCTCGGATGTTAGAGTGACCCAGGGCTTAGTTCTTGGATCTCTTTATTTCTTTATTACACTCACTCCCTAGGTGATCTCATGCAATCCTGTGTGTCTAAATACCATATATTCCCAGGTGTCAGAGTTGTTCTCCAACTCAGCCTCTTGCTTGAACTCCAGACTAGTTTATCCAGCTGCCTCCTGGATGCTATGTGGATAGCCTCTTGGGTGTTCAATAGTAACTTGTCTGGAACAGAAATATTGATTTTTCCCACCCAGTCTTCCCCATCTTAGTAAATGGCACCGTCATTCTTTTAGATGCTAAGGTCTAAAACCCAGCATCTCTTGGAAGCTCTCTTTCCCTCAGACCTGACATTTGGTCCTTCTACAAGTTCTTTCAACTCTTAACTGTAAACTATACCCTGAATCTGGCCACTTCTCACAACCTTAGCAGCTAATTCCCTGGCCCAGACCACAGTCATTCCTGTTCTGGAATATTGCATTGCCTCCTCGGTGGTCTCTCTGCTTCTGCACTTGGGACCACAGTCAGTTCTCCACACAGTAGCCAGAGGGCTCTTCAGAAACAAATTAGACCATGCCCTTCCCCATCTCAAAACTCACTGATGACTTTTTATCACATTCTGGATAAAATCCAGATCGTTTGCCATTGTCCGTGAGACCCTACATGACCTGACCCCTGCAGATCCCTCCAAGCTTTTATCTCCTGTGGCTTCCCCCCTTGCTCACTGTCCTCCAGCCACACGGGCCTGTTTACTCTTCTTCTAACACAAGCCCATTCCCACTTTGGGCTTTCCTCTCCCGGGGGTGCTATTCTCCCGTTTCCTCAAGGCTCTCCTCTTAACTTGAGTCAGTTGTCTCTGAAATGGCACCTTTTCACACAGGCTTTCCCTCAACTGCCCTGTCTGACATAACTGCCCCGCCCCCACCCCGTCATCACACTCGGCTGTATTTCTCTCCATAGAATTCATCACTTCCTGGAATTATATTCTATATTTATTCATTTGTTTACTTCCTCTACTGAAATGTAAATTCTGTCAAGGTGGGACTTTATCTTATTTGCTGAATCGATTTCCTCAGCTTCTAGAATAATGTGACCCATTGTAGATGCTCAGTAGATATTTGTGGCAGGATTGAATACGTAATTCATGTAGTAAGTGGAGGTCCCTTTTCGCCTTATTTCACTACCGCTCTTTCCCCAGAGGTAATCAGTGTTGGGTTTGGTCACTAATTTTGTAGACTTGTTTTCTGCATTTATAAACACACTCACACACATGCACACACAGACACCCAATTTTTTTCATGATAATATAAATTGTTCTATACCTTACTTTTATCTCTTAATATTTTAGATATTTTCCCATGTTAGTTTGTATAGATAGTTTATATATGTGTGTAGATAGTTTGTAATAGTTACATAGTATTCCATACTATGGATGCAGCATAATTTATTTAACCATTTTCCTATCGACAGATATGTAAGTTGTTTCCATTTGTTCACTATTATAAATAAGGCTTCAGTGAATATGCTTATACATAAATCTTTGTGCATATGGGCAAATAGATCTCAAATTGTGGAATTGTTTCCTGGTCTGTAATTTGATAGATACCGCTTTGTTTGTCCTTCTAAAAGATTATACTATTTTATATTCCTTCCAGTCTGCCTGTATCTTTCCCAATACTAGATATTACCATGTTTTCAAAATAGTTTCAAGATTATAAGGTAGCCTGCTGAATAAAGAAAGATAGTCCCTTTGGAAAGAAATGGCAGAATTAACAGAGTAAAGTGATTTGAGTGAGAAACAACTTATCTCTGAGTAAAAAGCTTCCAGATACTTTTTCTAAGAAGTATTTCATGATGTGTCTTGGGCTATCCAAGATCACAGACCCAGGTATCCTAGTTTTCTTGCTATAAAATGTCTTTCCCAGATGAATTTTTTTTTTTTTTTCATTAAAAAGAATTCACAACACAGAACCTCAAGTGTTAGAGTTGGCTGCAGGAGTAATGGAAGTAGTAGCACTTGGTGATTTTTTGTTAGGTAACGGCTTGTGGTTTCTGCGGGGCCTTGCTATAAGTCTACCCACAGAGCAAGAGACATTATCTGTTTTAGTAACTGACTGGGGTCCAAAACAGATGCATGGGAACGAGTAAGAAGAGAAATGCTAGGCCAGACAGAAGATAGGACACAAGCGTACCTTGGTGTTTCTGTGATGTCAGCTGGTTTTAGCTCAGACCTGAGTATTGGTGGGTGCAGATGCTTTTCTCTCCTTTTAGTGGACTCTCAGGGCTGGGCTGACTCCCAAAGCGCTGCCCTGAGTCTCCTTAGTTTTCAGCAGATTTGAAATGAAGGTCTTGGGATGAGAGGTACTTCTGAGGCCTTAGAATATTAGAGTTTGAGTGATTCTTCAAGATATCCACTCTTACTGTATAGATGACAAAACTGAGGTCCAGGGAGAGGAAATTATTACATAAGTAATGATCATGACATTTTACACTGATGACATTGAGTAATGACAGGAAAGAGCTTTTTCACTTGAACTTTAAAGACACACCAGAATGTTGGACAGAAAAGTGCTCTTGCCTTGAAATTCCCAAGGCAAGAATGGCTCATAACTGGCACATATACCACACTACTCCCCACCCCTTGCCTGCCATGGCAGACATTGCTAATCAATCTCAGCATCATTTCTCAGCCAAGCTCAGGCCCAGCCTGAGGCTCCTCCTCACACAGTGCCGTAGGCGGCCAGTAACAGAGGATCTGAGTTCACAATTGAAATAAACTGTTTGCCCCCTCTTCCAAATGATGCATCCGTGTGGTTCATGATGTAGTAAGAGCACCGGACTTCAGTCTTGAAGAGCTTGGTCTGACTCCTGAGTCTGCTGTTTCCTAGCTCTGCCATCTCGGGCAGGTCCCTTACCCTTTCTGGGCTCATTTCCTCATCTCTAAAATAAGGGAGTTGAATTAAGTAATCTTCAAGCATCCTTCCAGCTCTGAAAAAAATATTGGGTGTAGAGACTTCCTAGGAGGAATTCATAGATATAGACACATATTTTTTTAAAGACCATAGATGTTTTTCAGGAAGTTTTCATATTAAAAATCTATTTATGTGTTTCTAGCTTTTTCTGGGTACTTCTTTTCATCTGCTGAGTCCCTTTGACCCATATCCTTGAAACTAAAATTTAGGAGTTCAGAAGGGAGAGAAAGGAGAAAGAATCACCTAAAACCAGAGGAATTGCATGAGCCTCTTCTTGGCCATGGCGACTTGTATGTTCTTACATACCAGGTGAGCAAACCTGTGTGTTTCCTGCCCACCCAGCTGAGTTAGAGTCTTCAGTTGCCTCTTCTTTCCCTTCTCCGGCAGGGCCCAGCAGACACGTCTCAGCAGGGGTTCCTCTGAGAGCTCATCTCCTCCCACCCCTGCTCCCTGCCCTGACCCTCCTTCCTGTTTATCTTGCAGGTTCCCCATCCCTTCGGGCATATCCCCTCCTCTCGGTCATCACCCGGCAGCCCACAGTCATCTCCCACCTGGTCCCTGCAACCCCGGGAGTCGTCCAAGCGTTGTCCCACTGCCCAACCACCGAGGCCACTCCTGTGGAAGCTCCAGGTGCTGAGGCTCTGGCCAGCAGTGAGTCCGAGACTGAGCAGCCGACACCCCGGCAGAAGAAGCCCCGCCGCAGCCGCACCATCTTCACCGAGCTGCAGCTCATGGGCCTGGAGAAGAAATTCCAGAAGCAGAAGTACTTGTCCACCCCAGACAGGTGAGAATGTGGGGAAGGGAGGGGCTCCCCAGTTAAGGCCCGTGAGAAGGGGAAACTCCCTTCACCCTCAGTGAAGTCAGAGAGTCAGGGTCCTAGGGCAGTGAGTGATGTGTTTCTTGGCTCACGTAGTCTCAACCCAGCCCCACATGAATGCATCACACGTCGCCCCCAAGAGCCCCGCCTGGTGCTGAGTCTGTACCCTGTCTCCGTATCTTAACCTAACTACCCCAGTGTAACAGGCAAGGTAAAGCTGAGCAGGTGGTTGCCGAGGCTCTCATCTGGGATACAGGTTTGGTTTTTAAAGCCACTCACTCTTAGGATCAGATGCAGTGTGACTAGGTCTGGAACTGGGGTCCATGATCTCCTTAATCTTCTCCCCAGCCTTCTAGCTCCCAGCTGTGCCAAGACACACTGGGCTGGCTGTTGCTTGGAAAGGGCTGGATTGACCCCAGTTGAGGAGGTGTCAGGTATTTTAATGAGTCTGGTGGATATCAGGTCAGAACCACTTGGGTGAGACTGAGGGGACCTGAGATGAGAGTTCCTTCATTAAACCCTTTGGAGTCTCAGATAAGGAAGGATTTGACCTTTGTGTTTCTCTGAGGCTTCAGTACCAATCCAAAAACACCAAACCCGTTGCCGTCGAGTCTATTCTGACTCATAGCGACCCCACAGGACAGAGTAGAACTGCCCCATAGGGTTTCCAAGGAGCGGCTGGTGGGTTCGAACAGCTGACCTTTTGGTTAGCAGCTGATCTCTTAACCACTTTAATTTACTGTCTTAACTGCAAAATATTTATGAGTGTGTTTGTTCCTTCACACTCACTCTGGAGGATGACTGAGCTAATGTGTGACCCTCTTTATTGAGGGGATTTTCTCGTCCTTGTTTCTCTTTCTTCATTTGCTCCCTGCCTTGTCCATGTCAGGCTTGACCCCTATCAAAGAGCAGGCAGGAAAAAAAGTAAGGAAATCAAACTCAAATATATCTTTTAAGCTATTTAGTATCTGTTCTGAAAAAAAATTTAGTATAAGAGGTGTCTGAAACTCACCAACTCAAGGGAATTCAAGTTAATCAAGCACCCACCGAACGTTTGCTGAGTGTCTTCTGTGGGCCAGGCACTGGCGGGGAATATGGGTACAGAAAGAGAGTCCTACTCTAAAGGAGATCATGGGGGAAGGAAGTAACTACCAGTAACTGCAATATGAGGGCAGTGGTGGTTTGCGGGTGGAATTCTTGCCTCGCAGGCAGGACACCCAGTTTCGATTCCTGGCCAGTGCACCTCAAGTACAGGCATCACCCGTCTGTCACTGGAGGCTTGTGTGTTGCTCAGACCCTCAACAGGTTTCAGCAGAGCGTCCAGACTAAGACAGACTAGGAAGAAAGGCCAGGTGATATACAGATGAAAACCCTATGGATCACAGCAGTCTGATCCCGTTGTGTATGGGGTTATCATGAGTTGAGCTAACTTGATGGCAGTCAACACAACAGTACAGTGAGCTGTGCCGATGATGTCCCTGAGCACTGTGGGACCACAGAGATAGAGCTGAGTGTATCAGAAGGGGCTACGGAAGGCTTCTCAGAGAAGGGGGCATTTAAGAAGACCTTTGATCCACACAGAGGTAATGCCACCCGCAGAGGCACAGGGCAGGTCTCGCTGGGCATATCTGGGGACTGTACGTGGTTGAGACAGCTCCAGCTTAAGGTGGGAGTGGGAAGGTGGTGGGAGATGAGGCTGAAAAGACGGGAAGGGCCCAGGTTGCTAAGGACCTTGTATGCCTGGCTAAGGAACGTGGCCTTTGTTGCTTAGGCAGTCGGCAGCCATTAAGGGCTGGAAGTGACATGACTACATTTACATTTTAGAGTAGTCCCATTGGTGGCCATGACTGATTAGAGAGGGGGAGATAAGGTAGGAGAGAACCCCGGGATAGTTCCTGAAGACCTAAATTAAAGTGGGGATAGAGAGGAAAGAAGAGACTGGCAGACCATGTTGAAGGTGGAGTGGACAGACTTGACGTTGGTGTGAGGATGTGAGAAGAGAATTGAGAATTCCGTGGTCCCTGAATTGGGCAACCAGGTAAATTACGGTAACATTCACCGACGTCAGAATGCAGAGGACAGAGTGGATTTGGTGGCAGAAGTGTGAGTTCTGTTCTGGACAAGCTGCATTTGGGGTGCCCCCGGGCAGACAGAAGAGGCAGGTCTGTGAACAGGGGATTAAATCGGTGAGATTCCCTTGGTTTTAAATAGCTGTTTTTTATGCCCCCACCGTGTAATTGAGAACCGAATGTACTTTTCCAAAGCAAGTGGCGTGAACATCGCGATTTATAAACTGTGTGTTGATATGTCCGAAGGGCCTCAACATGGATGGGTAAAATGTCAGGCTTAATTTTGAAAAGTCAGAGGAATTTTTTTTATAGAAATGTTAGTTTCCAGCAAGCCTCCTGGGGCTTCCGGATACCTGCCCGGGCATCGCACAGGTGACCTACACAGCACTGATTCACTTGCTTGGGGAGGAGGACACCATCTGGCTGGCATGGAAGCTGCCGCCTTAATCCACCCTCTCACGCGTTCCTCACCTCTGTACGTGACCAGGGCCATAAGCCCTTCCTCCTCCCACAGCCTGTTCCCTCCTCCTCTTTGTTTCTCCCGTTTCCTAGGTGACCCCATTTAATCGAATATGCAGGGAAGTGAGAATTTGTGATGGTGGCAGGTAGTGAGAAAAAGCGGATGACAGTGGAGCGTGTTTCTGTAGCCAGAGAGAGTGAAGGATGCATTTTTCCCAAGTGAGCTCACACCTTTTGCTAAGGCCACGGCGGAGCTGCGCACTGAACCTTCCGCTGATTAACGTACCTGTTGACCTCAGGTGACCCGGGAGGACGTCTCCAGGGAGACCTGGGAGACCAGACGTCGTGGATTGGCCTCCTGGGTTCTGCAGTGCTCCATTAGTGGAAGAGCTAAGCGTCATTGGCACCGAGAATTTATTAGCTTCGGTCTGTTAATGACTTTCCATTAAACTGTCATCTTTCAGCAGCCCTTCCGTGTGAATGCAGATTTAAGACAGGTTCAGCGTGCCTTGAAGGGAGACTCTGCTTTTATGGTTGGAGATTTAAATCGTGTGCTTTAGTCAGAGCAGGGGGGCTGGACAGCTGCACCTGGAGTGCCAGGGGTTTGCATCGGGAACTTTCCATGCTCGTCCCCACTGGTCTTCCCCGGGTTAGAGGCCCCTCATGACTTTTGCAGCTGAAGAACGCCCACCTGAGATGACTCACAACTCAGGCTCCTGGCTGGGAGGCTTGTGTGAGTTAAGGGGCCTCCTCACATCTCTGGGAACCTTCAAAATGAGGCTGTATCAAGGGCGGTCACCCCAAGTTTCTACATTAGTGACCAGGGCTGGAGCCACTCATGGAGGTGGTCCTTCCAGTCGGTGCTAAGGTAGACCGGGGGTTTGTGTCAACCCTGGGCATCGGTCTGCAGTCTCTAATGGTCCCCAGTTTCAAGGGCTGAGGTTGGAAGCCTGGCTGCACACCTCCCTTTCCCATCCCACATGCTCCTCTCAGATTGTTTGCTACTCTGTGGCCACCAAAGACTGAGCAAGAGCTTTCCTTTGAGAAATCCAGTTTGTACAGAAATGTCGTAGGTGGGGCAAGTCCCTATGCAGAAGGCGGTGTAGAATCAGACACAGTGGATTTGAATCCCAGCTCCACCCTTACCTGCAGGGAGCCCTGATGGTGCAGTGGTTAAAGCACTTGGCTGCTTTAAAGGTCGCCAGTTCAAATTCACCAACTGCTCCACGGGAGAAGGATGTGGCAGTCTGCTTCTGTAAAGATTTATGGCCTTTGAAACCCTATGGGGGCAGTTCTGCTCTGTCCTGTAGGATCTCTGTGAGTTGGAATCGACTTGACAGCAGTGGGCTTGGTTTTTTTGGCTCCACCCTTACTAAGTTTCTCTTCCAGGGGTCAGCAGACTTTTTCTGTAAAGGACCTATAGATAGTATATATTTTAGGCTTTATAGACCATATGCGTGTGTCACAGCAACTCAGTTCTGCCTTTGAAGTGGGAAAGCAGCCATAGACGAATACAGAAACGAATGGGCATGTCTGTGTTCCAGTAAAGCTTTATTTATAAAACAGGCAATGGGCAGGCTCAGACCCATGGACCATAGTTTACTGAGATCCCTCATCTGTAAAATGGGAATCTTTATACTTCCCTTATAGTGTTGTGGAACAGTAAATGAGATGGCACAGATCGGCGTTTAGCATAGAGCCTGATACGCGCGTGGCGCCCACGAAATACAGGCTTTACGTTTGGCAGTAGCTCCACCTGCACGCTTCTCGGCACTTTCTGGACTGACATGCGGGTCTTTTCAGAAAACTACAGAGAAACGCAGAACCATGGTTAGCAGTAGACCAAGAAGCGGGAGGGGCTACAGGTTTAGGGTTCTGTTTGCAATCCAGCATTATAGCAATTTAGGGCAGCTACAGTGAATTCGCATGAATCGATTAAAAAGTATTTTTGAGGACTTGTTCTGGATTTAACAATGTGATAGCACGTTAGTGGGTATAAAAGGAGCAGAAGGCGTACTCTGACGGGTTAGTCGGGGCAGCAGAAATAACAGGTGAAGTGATTAGGGAGCAGTCAGAATGCAGGCCTGTCTGGGTGACTGCTGGCTGTGGGAGCAGCACAGGGGAGCCAGATGTGGGTGAGCTGCAGGGTCTAGGGGGCTTACCTGTGGGAGGGGGAACCTGAACTGGATCTGGAGGGATTAGCAGGGTTTCAATAGGGAAGATATGGCTTTGCCTTTTATTTCCAATCTGGACTTTGGGTTGGAGTCCTCATTTTGTACTGGGTCAGAGTGAAGACTATGTCAGGAACAGGCCTTTGTAACCAAGGCGCAGAAGCACTTTCAAGTCCAGCTTGGATAGTGTTTCCAGGATGAGGACTGCCCCACATATCCCGTTCATAGGCAGCTGCTTCTTATTGTCCCAGAGTTTCATCCACAGAGTCTTGGAGAGAAGAGAGGCCCTTTTGGGAAGAGTTGGTTTTTTGGAGAAGGTCCACACTCTGGTAGCGAGTGCCTGGAGCTAGCCTCTAGACCCCGTCTCTAACTGCTCTTTCTCTGCCTGCCTCACCCTCATCTTCCTCATCATTGGAGGGTCCTTTGTATCTCTCGCCTTCCAGGTTGGACTTGGCCCAGTCTCTTGGACTCACTCAGCTGCAGGTGAAGACGTGGTATCAGAATCGCAGGATGAAATGGAAGAAAATGGTAAGAAAGAAGAGTGGATCTAACCCCTGCCCAGCATGATGGGGCAGATTCTTACTGCAGGGGCTGGTGGGAAGACAGGAGGACCAGTGGGTGGTGTGGGCTCCCGAGATGGGAAAGCGTTTAAGATGCTGGCTAGGAGTGAGGCTGTTTGAACTGTAAGATAAGCCGTTTCCTGACCTGGATTTCCTAACCAGAAGGATACTCTTTTTCACAGTTTCCTTAAAATTAAAAGAAAAAGAAAGCCCACAGGCTTCTCAGTTGCTAGTTTTAACCCCACCTGCAAGCCTTTTCAAAGAACTTCCTCCCCCTCCCACCAATAGCTAAGAATAGAATTGAGTACTCTGTTTGCAATGACATATAGGGCACATCTGTTCTTTTAGCTGTGTGTCCTCTAATGCAGTGATTCTCAAATTTAGGGCAGCAGGGTAACACGAACAGTAATCTGGTATGGTAATAGTAATAGTAGGCCCCATCCCAGGATTCTGATTCCCAAAGACTGTGACAGGCCTGGGATTATGTATGCTAACTAGCACCCAGGTTATTTTGACTCAAGTGGTATAAGGACTACAGTTTCGGTAATACTGCTCTTAGTGCCTAGCTAATGAATATTTCCATCTTTGATTTTTTAAATCTACTTGGTAGAATAAACATCTCTGTATTTTAGGGACCCAGGACCTCATAAAAGTTTTATCTTTTTTTTTTAAACCAAAAAAAGGAAACCAAGCCTGTTGCTGTCGAGTCGATTCCGACTCATAGCGACCCTACAGGACAGGGTAGAACTGCCCCACAGGGTTTCCAGGGAGCTGCTGGTGCTGACCTTTTGGTTAGCAGCTGTAACACTTAACCCCACTGTGCCACCAGGGCTCCTTTTTTTTTTTTTTTTTTTTAAATCCAAGGTAGCTGATTGTTTGATTTTTCAGTTTTGTAAACCACAAGCGACAGGGTCAAAGCCCAGAGACAAGATGAAGGTGGTGGTGGTGAGGAGGGAAGAAACCCACTCCAGTCTTTAGAGACGAGGGGCTCAGGCGTGAGCCTTTCTTACAGCCTCGCTGAATCTTGCTGTCCTTCTCCTCTCGTACTGACCGGGCACTCCGTGCCTTCCTGGAGGACATTCTCATTTGCTAAATCATCTGCCATGAGCCACATGTCCTGGTATTTCAAGGGCTGGAGTATGATGCTTTTTAGCGTAATGAAATAACAAAGCCCCTCTTCTCCCCACTTTTCAGGAAAAAAAAGTAAACGAATAAGATATTGTCTCAATTTTGTGTTTACGTCCAATAATTAAAGAAAAAAAAACTTTTCGTTCTTGCTATTCTTTGCTATTGTCTGCTAGCAATGAGAGGGGAAAAAAAAAACAAAAGAAATTACAATGACTATTAATGGGAACTATCTGAAGAAAATCAACAAGCAGCATCTAATATATATCCCCCAGAAGGGAGTGCTGGGACAGTCTCGTCATTGTCAGGACCTGCCCCTGAGATGGAAGGATTTTCAGTGGAGGCCAGCTTGGCTCATGAAGCGCCCAGGGAGGGAGACGGAGATGCCAGTGGCACATATAAGCACACACACACACTGCGTGAATCAACACATACACACCGAAGTGTCTCTTAGGAGCCAAGCCCTGTCCTACGTACTGCAGGAAGGAAAGACAAAAATACCACCCCTGCTTTCATGGCGTTTATCATCTATTTGGGGAAACAGGACACAGGAAGCAGCTAGGGAGCCCCTTGCAATGACGTGCTGCATTGTTGATCATAGACTTATGAGCCTGTGGTAGTTCGCAGGAGACCTATGAATGGGATTCAGCGAAGTACAGTTGTTCCAAAAACTCTAGAAGGCTAAGACAGACGTGAAACTTGTGGCGGAAACCTCTGAGGAGACTCATGTCTAAAAGAGCCAGAATTGGGACTCAGAAGCACCAGCTGTGTTCCCACGCTTGCCCCTCCCTGGCTGATTGCGGGCAAGTCCCTTCACTGCTCTCTGTGCAAGTTCTACCGCCCACCTCCTTCCTCGTCCATCATCATCATCGAAATCAGTGTCTGCAGAGTGGCAGAGGCATTGTTGAAATTGCTTATCTGCGATCATTTCATGAGTCAGGTGATTAAGGCATTGACAGCCTGCCACCCCTGCCAGAGCCATCCCGTGTGTATAGGGTGGTGTATATGTCTTTGCCCCGGTCTCTCATGTCACTTGTTTGTCACCAGCCGCTGTGCAGCCCGCAGTGCTGTGGGCTGGGTGGGAATAGTTACCTCTGCTGTATAAGACAAAACGGAAGTAGCTTGGCAGGCCAGCCAAACTCGGGCCCCTGTAGGAAACAAGAGTACCAAATTCACTTTAGCAATAATTTATGGAGTACTTACTTTCACCAGGCAGTGGAGATACAAAGATAAGAGGTGAACACGTCCATTTAAAAAAAAGGTACTCAGTCAAGTGAGGGAGACAGAGCTGCACTCTAGTATCATCCAGTGTGATCTGGGCACAGCTGAAGGATTTACAGGACGCAGAATCAGTAGAGAGAAGGGGAGGGGATTCGTGGATGAACAGAAATGTGCCAAGTGAAGTGGGGAGGGTATTCCAGGCAGAAGGATGGGACAGAAGTACCTGGGGGCTTGGAAGTACTTCAGCATGGCCGAAGCTAACATGTGAGGGATTGTGTTCAGCTGTGGATCTGAGTTCTGACTCCCTCAGAACAGGGAGGCATTGTTGGGATTCTGATTGCTTCATCTGTTTTCCTGCTAAAACTCTTTCAAGGCGCTATCTCTTCAGGTACTCTGGAGGAAAAGAAAAAGATAATTGGGTAATAAAAATGTCTCAAGGCTAGTAACCTAATTGGAACTGGAAAAAGATTAGCACTTGATTCTCAGAGTTATTCATATGGCTGCCAGGGGCATCGCTGCCAGAACCAAGATAGCATCTCTTGACTTGTTTTTACCAGTCAGCATTTGTAACCTGTAGCGGGTTGGGTAAATTTAATCTTGCACATTAGATGGGGCACTCACCCTCTATTCTGTTTCTCTTGGCTTTGGTTCCAGTAGGACCCACAGTGTGTTGCAACCAGCTGAGGGTGCCTCATTATTCAGTGGTCTTCTTCAGCTCTGGAATAAGCTTCTGTTCTGTGAGAGGATCCAGATGGACATACACCATCTTTCTCCCCCACTCACACCACTGGGTGGGCCTCACACCATACACCATAATTATCGTTCACACCAACAGTCTCTAGATAGTCAACAGGTCCCGTGAAATTGCTCCTGGTTGCTAGCTGCGTAATCTTGAGCAGGTGACTTCACCTCTGTGCACTTGTTTCTGCATCAGTAAAATGCAAAAGATTTATCTCATGGGTTATGGTACTAACTGAGCTAATCTCTGTAAAATACTTCAGAACAGTGCCTGCCACATAGTTTGCAGACAAGAAATGTTAGCTGCTATCATCATTATAATTCTTTATCTATCTACAGAATTCATGTGTCCAAATGATCCAGCTTTTTGGAGGCCAGGATAGAGCCGGAAGTGATTTCCACAAGTTCCCAGGGCTTTGACCTCTTTGTTGGCTGTTTCCTGTCTGAAATGGGGGGGTAGGAGTTCCTCCCTGGCTGACATTCATGTCGCCCTCCCCACTCGCCTCCCCCTGGCCCTGCCTCTGGGGCAGACTCATCTAAGCACCTCGAAGAGGGAGCACAAGGCCTTGTCTTCACCTCTTTAGGAACAGGACGTTTAACACCCAGTCTAGGAGGGCCGTCTGCCAGAGGGCTAGCAAGTCAACAGCATGCCGGGTGCCTTTCTGAGAAACAGAGATAGATAGGCGTGTGGCTGGGCATTGTGTGGCCGCTTTGGACCAGGGGACAAAATTAAACTGGCTCTAGAAATAATTGGGGCGGGTAGTGTGTGGGGGGTGGCCCTGGCCCAAGGGCCACAGGGTGCATGAGAGGGCGCGCTCCTGGAGTGGGTTGGGGTGAGGTAATTGCATGTGTCAGGTGTGCTGGAAGGCAGGGAGCCAGAGATCAATGCAGAAAGCAGCCAGGAGGGTAGTTATTTTCTAATTATTGCTGGGGTTGGAATGTTTTGTTCCACTCAGAAAATGGTTTGATTGTTTCTTTTTTTTTTTGAGGATCAGGCAGGCAGCCATGTGGGGTCTGGCCTGGCTGTGTGGGTGGTGTTCTCTAATTGCTGGGGCTGGGCTTGCTTTTGCCAATTAGGTGGCTTTCTCAGACCTGCCCTTTTATAACTTGATTACTGCATGGGGCAACTTAGTTCTGTATAATCTCTTTCATACTGAGTGGAGCTGCTTTCAACATGCAGATTCCATCTTGGCACATTGGGTACTTTCGAAAGCCTGTGCACGGACTGAAATCAAAATCAGATACTGACTTATGTGAAAAAGAATAGGGACATCTTCTCCCCAGAGGTGGATTCTGTCAGTGTCTGCACCTGTTAAAGGGCTTGTGCACGTCTCTGTGTTTGCTGTTCGCTATCTGGGGGAGAAGTACGGTGACTGAGCAGGTTCCCAACTAAAAGGAGGCGTTTGTTGAGGCAAGAATTTACTTACACAAAAATTAACTCAAAATGGATCATAGACCTAAATCATAGACCTAGTACTATGCAATTCTTAGAAGAAAATATGAGTGAATCTTCATGACCGTGGCTTAGGCAAAACCTTTTTAAATATGACACCCAAATCACAGGTGACAAAAAAAAAAAAAAAGATAAACTAGACTCCATCGAAATTAAAAACTTTGGTGCCACAAAGGACATCGAGAAAGTGAAAAGACAACCCATAGAACATGAATAAATATTTTCACTTCTTATAGAACTCAATAAAAAGATAAACCCAATTAAAAAATGGACAAAGGATCTAAATAGACATTTTTCCAGTAACGATATACAAATGGCCAATAAACACATGAAAAGATACTAAACATCATTTTTATGCTTCAGGGAAATGCAGACGAAAACCACAATGAGGTGTCACTTCACACCCATTAGGATGGCTAAAATGAAAAAGG